TTACCTGTTTCAGCAGGAGTTGGCGGGGTTGTATAGGGCTGACACTGTATATCACTTGTCGGAGTGCAAGCCTGCACCATCTCTTCCCCATCAGGACACCTGGGAAGAAAAGCAAAAAACCAATGCGCACTGAGATAGACTCCCCCTTGCACACCAGAAGCAAGTGCAATTCCCAGTGTCTCACCCTCCTCCAGAGGAGGCACCTTAGGGATGGAAAGACATACACAGAATGAACATCAAGTAGCAGAGTTGGGGAGGTCTGGCACTCAAACCATTATACTGGACTATATCACGGCGCAACGTATCATACCAGCCACTGGAATTGCTTCTTGGGATCGAACAACAGTGTTTCATTCAGCTAATTCTTGACACCATATCCCTCGACAAAAGGTACCACAAGATCAACAGTGTGTATACGCTGTGTTTTAGGAAGCTGCGCTCAGCTCCTCCCTCCACCCCGGATTTAAGCTCAACTACAGCTTTGAAGTAGCTACGCAATTCCAAAACATAGACGTGACACCTAGCATGTTTGGAATTGTCTCCAGCGTATAAAGTTCCCTGGCCTAACGTTGATGGATAAGAGAAATATTTTGTAAACACACTTTCTGGTGCTGTTAAAAGCTTTAAAAACTAATGCAAATCACAGATGACGGCTGTAGTTAGCAAGCCTGTGTTCAATTTCTCTGCCTCCTCTTATGGCCTCTGACCCCCATCTGACCCTAAGCATAACCCTCTCTTGGTGTACATCATATCAGTCACAGGTAAGGAACCTGTAGACCTCCAGATCTTGCTACATTACAACTCCCATACCCCCAGCCAGCATGGCCAGTGTCACAGATGATAGGCGGGAGAATCCACCAATATGTGGAAGACTGCAGTCTCCCTTTGCATAGACTCAAGCCCTAAGCATCTTTCCACCATTGCTGTTCAATCAAAACAAAAAGCAGGGAAAGATATACTGTATTCAAATACTGCAACCCCTTCCACACTTTGGGTATCATGTTAGGTACTATCAAGCTATTTCCACTTTGTGGAGATCTATGAATCAATGATCTCCAGAAGGTCCCATCATGAGCAACCTTGCTCAGGTCTTGCAAACTAAAGGCCATGGTTTCCGTTTTTGAGCGAATCCATCTCATGTCTCGCTTTCCTCTTTTCCTGTTACCTTCATTCTTCCTAGTATGATTATCATTCCCAATGAGCCATCTCTTCTCATGATACTCCCTGCCCTCTGGATGCAAACCTTCATGTGACAAGAATGTTAAGAGTGTGTCAGAGAACTCAAAAGCAATGTTCTCAGGAGGCTGGACTCTTGTTACAAATCTGGTTTCCTGGCAGGGTTACCCAGGCGGAAGGGTCAACGCTGAGACACAAGACCAAGATCCAGCCATCCCAGAGAGAAATTAGCCGTTGCTAATTAATGGTTCCAGTGATGACAGGAGTGGAGAAATTCTGGAAAGAGAACTACCAGACAGCAACAGTCGTAGGAAGACGACACTGACAGAGTGTCTGCCACAGACAACAACAATAATGCTCAAGCTAACTCAGGTTTGTATTGGCAGTGAGACTGAACCTTTTAACACTAAAACTATATGATGTTACAATTTCCAAATGAACTTTTTTGGTGCCAAAACAGCAACTTTATTTTTATTTTATTTTATTTGTTCGATTTATATCCCGCCCATCTGGCATATTCTACCACAAATGCCAAGCTCATACCATTTCTATATGAAATAATTTGAAACTAACCTGAGTCTGCATTTATGGCACGTTTCACACGGAAGGTCCGGGGAGCAGAAGGTGCCATTCTTACAGGAACACTGTGTGTTGTTGGTTGGCGAACATGACTGTATCTCCACTTGGTCTGAAAAGCCAACAGAAAACAATCAGATTTTTCTCACCTTCACAAACCGTTGTTTCCTGCCCCCACCCCAAGAACTCATCAACTAATACCTACAGTAGGGACCCCATCTATCCACAGGACCATGATCCGCTGATTCAATTAATCTACTGCCTAAAATATTAAATTACAGCACCCCCCTGCCCAAATAGGTATTTCCAGGGCATATTTACTAGAACAGGCCACCAGAAACCATGCAATAAATAAAGCGCTTGATCCTTCTGCACTTTTCAGCATCCTCAGTAGGGGGGGGGGGCTTGGAACCAACCCCGCCTCCCCGCCCGCCTGCAGATACCACAGTCCTACTGTATTGAATGACAGCAGCATGCTAATCACTAGGACATAAACTAAACTAAGTCCGATCTGGAATTTCAGCTAAGTCAGAAGTGGCAAGTCAGCCCTAGATAAAGGTCCTAAATTGTGAGGTTAAATTATGAGAAGCAACATCCAAAAGCAATTGGAAGAGCCACAGTTTTCAGTTCTGACATAAGCGAACAAAGCAGGGGCAAGTAACCGGCCTCTAGCCTTTACGGCTGTCAAGCTAGTCCAGAAAGTGTGTAGACAAAGACTTGTGGATCTCACAAAGGGCTAGACATACTGTGTGGTTTAGGGCAAGTCTTTCACATCTAGCCAAGTGGCAAAGTCTTTGGGGGAGCCAGCTGCCTCCAGCAGCATCAAAATGGTGGTGGCCGATGTGCCCCATTTTAGTACCCATTCTGCCTCCGTGCTTCTCCCCTCTACTCTTCCGAGAGCAAACTCAGAATCATGTAATATAACAGGATACGCTATGAGCAAAAAGCAGTTCTGCATCATGATACTCAGCTCACCTTCACTTGGCCTAGACGTGTAGAGATTTTTACACAAAAGGAGACACTCGCTCCCCTATTAGAAGCTAGAGCCCCCTCCCCCAAATCCAGGTCCCCACCTCCATACCCAACTGCCTGCACTCTTCACAAGGAAAGCAATGCTGCTGGGTGTTGTGGTATTTGATATAGGTATCCTTATGACAGGGCTCGCACGTTGTCGGAGTGGTTGGTGTGCAGTGTTTGTCAACTTGAAAGCCTAAAAAGAGGAGGAAAACAAAGCGTGAACATGTGTCAAAGGTCAGTGTCTGTCCACACATAAACAGCTCAGCATCTCCGCATGCAATGGATGCACATAAAGAGAGGGGTGTGTGTGTGTGCAGGTGTGTGGGTGTAGACACAGTGGTCAAACTGATATATTGCTGCCCAAACAGTGCTCACAACCTGGGGTTCAATCCCAGGTAGCCTCAGGTTGACTCAGCCTTCTATCCTTCCAAGGTGGTAAAATGAAGACCCCTCTTTCTCTCTCTCTCTCTCTCTCTCTCTCTCTCTCTGTGTGTGTGTGTGTGTGTGTGTGTGCGTGTGCGTGTGCGAGAGAGAGAGAGAGAGAGAGAGAGAGAGAGAGACTGTAGGGCAGGAGCTGGTGGACGACATGAGTCATAATCCAACATTTCCGGAGCATGAGCTGGTCTAAAGAGGCACCATCACAATCAAACGAAACTCAGGTCTCCAAGCACAGCCTGCTTCTGCATTTCCAACAAGAAATTTTCCTTTTAGATTCCATGGCACAACTCTGTGTGGTTTCACAAAGTGTTTGCATTCTACGTAATTTCTCATCCAGGTCCACCCCAGCTTAACTCCAGCAAAACATCTGCCTTCAGTCCATTTCACAGGGCACCAGGAAGAGATAGTGAATAGAGTCAAGGTCAGTTTCTTCACTTAGATATGGGCTCTGTTTTCAATTCAGTAGCACTCTTATGAAGGAGGAATGTATGTGTTCCTGTGTTGGCTGCTCGCGAGAAGCAGAACCAAAATAATAATATTTTCACACCTGCAAGAGGAGCTAGTTGTCCTGAACTACTTTCAGCTTCACCGTAAGCTGAACGCTCCTATTTCCAAGTCCTCGTGTCTACATGTGGCCAAAATATCTACATAGGTTTGCTTTCCTGGGCAGGGGTAAACAAGAAGCCACCAGGGAAACCCTGAGAATTGTAGTGCAAGAATGAAACATTCCCCAAATTGTAGATGGCATGGTTTGCAAACTATTCTCTGATCCTATTTTATGCAATGTGCACTTTTCAAAGAAGTAACTGAAACAAAATTACAGCAACATATGAAAATGTTTCTGGCAAATGCTTGTAAAATACTTTTACAAAGTTACAGTGGACCCTCTACTTAAGGAATTAATCCGTATTGGAATGGTGGCTGCAAGTCGAAAAGTCTGTAAGTCGAATCTCCATTGACCTACAATGCACTGAAAACCGATTAATCCCATAACCAGTGGTTTTTATTCTATTTTTATTCCATTTTGGTTTTTTTCTGGTCTGTAAGTCGATTCTCTGGCTGAAAGTCGAATCTAAATTTTGCAGCCAGAGAAGTCTGTAACTCGAAAAGTCTGTAAGTCGAGCCGTCTGTAAGTCGAGGGTCCACTGTACTTTGGGTAAGTTCCCTCAGGATCACTAAGGCAGCCCAATTCATCTTATCTCACCTTAAAATGCTTAGCCTAAGCAGCTGGAAATGCCAGCTAAAACTCATATTGGTCTGAGAACATGGTACCTGGTGGGCATTGCTCACAACACTGCCCATTGTGGGGGTACAGTTTCTTCCCGGAGAGCTCGCTCCCCTTGTTGCAAATTTCCAAGGCCTCACGACTGGGTTCTGTTGGATTCTGCATTTGCAAGAGGCTCACAGCCTTGGCTTCGTGCTGATAAGAAAAACAAAAGGGCAGGGAGTCATTACAGATTGTGCCTACATCGAAAGGCTGCACGGCAAGAACCTGGCAGCTAATACTAGCCTCCCACAATTGTTCCCATGCTCCAGCTTTTCTGTCCCAGCTGCAAGTCTGTTAGCGAGTCCTTAGAGTAGTAGGAGGAACGCAGTGCAGGTTAAACCGCAGAAGCCTCTGTGCTGCAAGGTCGGAAGACCAGCTGTCGGAAGATCGAATCCACGCGACGGAGTGCCCCCCCTGTCGCTTATCCCAGCCCCTGCCAACCGAGCCGTTCAAAAGCATGTAAAAATGCAACTAGATAAATAGGTACCACCTCGGTGGGAAGGTAATGGCGTTCCGTGTCCAGTCGCGCTGGCCATGTGACCACGGAAACTGTCTACAGGCAAACGCTGGCTCTACGGCTTGGAAGCGGGGGTGAGCACCGCCCCCTAGAGTCGGACACGACTGGACTAAATGTCAAGGGGAACCTTTACCTTTGAGCAGTCGTGGGTAAGTATTCTGGCAGGTGCTCCGGGATGGCAACTCTCACTGGCCTTTATTTTTATTTATTTTCCAACTTTTACCCCACTTATCTAGATTCAATGAATCTGCTCTGGGCAGCTTCCAAACAAAATGTAAAACAAACAATATCACACAACAAAGAAAGGTCCAAGATGATAAGACACAGGAAATGAAGAAATGGAAGGGGGGGAGGGAAGGCTTATATTGCCAATGGTGGCTAAAGCTAATAGGAATCATAGTCCAAAAACATCTGGAATGTTAATATGGTCCACCCTGAACCAAGAGAATTTACACCTCTGCACAAATTCAAATAGACTCTGAACACTTTGTGGCTTCTGTAATGTATTCTTTCTCAGTATGCAGTTTTTTGGATAATTGGGGTGTGTGTGAAAGAGATGTTTAATTGAAATTCTATATTTATAGAGGAATAGCACAGGATATTATACACATTCCTATACACACAGTTGTAAGCAAATCACTGGTGAGATGTAATACTAAGTCTCAGAGATTGAGCAGGGAGAAAGGGGCCATGTATAAATCCAGCCCAGGATGCAGCAAAGTTGCATTCGTAAGAGGACAGCCTGATCAGACAAAACCCTAGAAAATGTGTCATTTCAATCATTAATCCATCTGAAATTTGTTTGGAGAAATGTCTGTCAAGCACAGATGGACTTTAAGAAAACCCACATATGTAAATCTTCGCAGGCCAAGCATTTACCAGCACACGCACACCACTGGATTTTTAACTGTGTTAAAAAGTTTGTGTCCACCTGCTAACTTTCAGATGACTTTTAATCAGCAACGCAGTGATAAACCCTGGGATTACAGATGCTCCTAACGAAAGCCATCGTTGCCATTTTCCCAAACAGAACCCCAGAAAGCACACCATTCTGTTGATCTGCACTAAGAAACCTGTTCTGGCATTTCAAATGTGTCTTCTCCACCCCAAGCAGGTCTTCCTAAAGCTAATGGGTCTTCACTGTCCTTTTCAGACCTGCCAGCCACCCTCAAATATTTTGCATTATAGCTGGGGAAGGACAGCTCCTAGTTTTACACAAATGCTAGGAAAATTCGTTCTGAGCTTACAGCCAGACTCAGTGGGAAGCTTGAGGATGATGTCATCATCCTTCTTAATGAAAAAGCTTCCAGGGGATAAATGTGGATCGCAACAAGTCTGGTGGGGGTGTTCCGCCTGCCCTAAGAGGATGAAAGTGGATATTCCACATTTCTTAGACCCGGTCTCCCAAGACTGGGTCACATCAGAGATCCTTCACATGCCATGAGGACAACAGGAGCAAATGCTTCATTTTGGAGTTTGGGATGGAAAATTCCAACCATGCTTACAAGAGAGGATGCTGGAAACCACATCTCGCAGCTGACTTTCCAACCTAACTCGGAATTAACTTTAAACCAGCAGACTCAACATAGACATCTGCCATGAATTTTTAAGACTCTACCCTAAAGTTTTTCTGCACCATCTATGAAGGAGTGGTGACCAGCCTGAAGAACTGGGATTTACTCAAGAAAGCTTGCAATTTTTATGGTAGTTAAGTGGTTCAATAAAGGCATCTTCTATATCTATCTGAGTCTGTCTTGCTTATTACAGTTCAGTAAGGAGGATGTTCAACATCAAAAAAAACTAAGATCACGGCCACTGGTCCAATCACTTCCTTGCAAATAGAAGGGGAAGATATGGAGGGAGTGACAGATTTTACTTTCTTGGGCTCCATGATCACTGCAGATGGTGACAGCAGCCCCGCAATCAAAAGACGCCTGCTTCTTGGGAGGAAAGCGATGACAAACCTAGACAACATTTTAAAAAGCAGAGACATCACCTTGCCAACAAAGGTCTGCATAGTTTTTTCCAGTAGTGATGTATGGAAGGGAGAGCTGAACCATAAAGAGGGCTGACCACTGAAGAATTGATGCCTTTGAATTGTGGAGCTGGAGGAGACTCTCGAGAGTCCCCTGGACTGCAAGAAGATCAAACCTATCCGTTCTGACGGAAATCAACCCTGAGTGCTCACTGGAAGGACAGATCCTGAAGCTGAGGCTCCAATACTTTGGCCATCTCATGAGAAGAGGGGACTCCCTGGAAAAGCCCCTAATGTTGGGAAAGGGTGAAGGCAAGAGGCGAAGGAGATGACAGCGTCATTGGTTGGACAGCGTCATTGAAGCGACCAGCATGAATTTGACCCAACTCCAGTGGGAGGCAGTGGAAGACAGGAGGGCCTGTGTGCACTGGCCCATGGGGTCACGAAGAGTCAGACACGACTTAACGACTAAACAACAACAAAAGAGGAAGTGCAGCAAGACCACAGGGCAGCTACCAGTGACCACAGGAATGGGCAAGGAGAAAGGAAGTGGGCTGTGGCTACCTACACAGCTGACAGGAGGTGTGCAGGAGTCCCACACAAGGTCAACCAGTTCACCTGCTGTCAAATGCCAAATGCACAAGAATTAAGCCAGGAAAGATTTAGGAACAATTTACACTGTATCCAGGAATGCTGGTCCTTTCTTTGGAAAAGCTAGTTCTGTTTTATTTATTTTATTTCATTTATTCACTACATTTGTACCACACCTCACCTAGTGCCCAAGCATGACTGGGTGGCTAATAGCAATTAAGAACACAACTGCCCACCCCAGCTGACAAAGACATGAATGATGAGATCCAGACCAAAGCAGTAGTAAGCCAAAATATAAAATAAACCTAGATTTAACAGATCATCAAGATCCAATTAATGGCTCCACAAGGATGTCAAAGGGGTAAGACGTTTCCAAAGGTCTCTCCAGACAAAATAGTTTTCACCCATTTTTAAAGGGCAGAAATGAAGGAGTCTGATGGGTATCCTCAGGTAACACATTCTGTAGCATTGCAACCACCACCAAGAAGCCCCTGATCCCAGTGGTAGTTTTCCAGAACTTTCTAGAGGTAGCCATGCACTACTGTGACACCCGATGGACCAAGAGGCCAGTCTTAAGGATTGCCAGAAGGTCTCTGGACCTCAAGAATACGAAGCAACGAATATTTAATGTATCATCAATATTCGTTGACTATCATGATTCATTTTTATATTTGTCCCCATGTCTACTAGTGACAGGTCTGAGTAACTGTTGGATATTCAGTTTGTGAAAGCAGAGACGTACGCGTATGTTTTATGTCAGCAATTTTCGATGTAAAACCCACTTTCCGCTTAAAAGAGACTCGGCTCACTGAAGCTTGACATTGTTAATGTATCATCAATATTCGTTGACTATCATGATTCATTTTTATATTTGTCCCCATGTCTACTAGTGACAGGTCTGAGTAACTGTTGGATATTCAGTTTGTGAAAGCAGAGACGTACGCGTATGTTTTATGTCAGCAATTTTCGATGTAAAACCCACTTTCCGCTTAAAAGAGACTCGGCTCACTGAAGCTTGACATTGCTTTTCCCCCAGTCTCTTATGGGAATGACAAAATGCAAATTCGGTGGCCACAACAAGTAGCTAGCTCTCTCTGTTCTCCTCCCCATACAAAGCGTGCTGCTTATATACCGCCCCATCGCGCTTCAAGCACTCTCTAGGCGGTTCACAAGTTAATTATGCAGGCTACACATTGCCCCCCACCCCACCCCGTGAGTTGAGCACTTTGTGAGCAAAAATAAAGAGTCTTGGGGGTGTCATTAAACTTTGTCACTTTTTTTATCAGGACAAGCTTTCACACTGCAAGGTGGGGTCCAGAAAAATGACAGATGAAAAAATAAAATGAGGTGTATAAGTCTTTAATATGTTACAAGGTTCGGCGTGTTGGGTTGCTCCAACAGACTAACTCAACTCAAGATGGTGACTTGGCCTCATCGAAGTTTTGTCTGACTGTGCAATTTGGCTTCTCTCCTCATCAGACCAACAAAATTACCTTTGCTTTTAAAAACTGTTCATGCGCAGAGGGTGGGGAATGCGTGCCAGTGTGTGTTCTAGAACATCTCAGAGCTCCCCTCCCTTAAACCTCCTGTAACCAGCAATCCGTTTGAGCATTAATTTACAGATTTGCTCTCCCTACTTGGCTCTCTGATTAGCATAAGTTTAGATTTGTTATCAGTTGTTGATCTCGAATGCAAAAGCTGCCACCTGACAAGGTACCACAGTCCCAGGAAACAGAACCCTTAAGACAAAAAGTGGAATTTCTTTTTGTTTTCGATGGCACATTTGACTTTTGCACCCCCAAGTTCATTTGTTCCAGAGAGTTAGTCCTGTTAGCCCATTTCAGCTGCAACAGAAACAAATACAGGAGCTTCGTGCCACACCTTTAAGCCTAACAAATTCATTCCACCGCAAAATTCCACAGGTATAATCTTTGCCAAAGGTACAGTAAACTCCACATGGATATAATCCATTTCCTCATCACCATCAAAAGAAGCGATAGTAGTGGAGAGTCTTGCGCCACCATAATGACTAATAAATTTTATCTGGCACAGATGTGAGTGGGCTGAAGTCCACAAGACTTTATGCTAAACA